TTGGGTTTATTTAGCTTCATGAATACATATCTTCTCATTGTTCATGATATTAGGGAAGTTTTCTTCCAACAACTTTCCAAATTCTTTTTCTTTTTTTGGTCTCTTCCTGTTTTGGAATTCCAATACCTATAAGATATTTCTCTTGATTGTGTCCCACATTAATCTTAGCTTTGTGGTGTGTTTTTTTTTTCTATTTTTTCCCTCTTTCTGATTATTTTTATAGTAGACTATTATTAAGAGATTAATCTTCAAGCCCATAAATTTGGGCTTCTATTGATTCAGAGCTATTCCTTTGTCCTTTCAGTCTGTTATCCATTTCTGAAATCTTAGTATTAATCTTCTGGATTTCTACTTTCAGGCGTTGTATTGTTTCTAAGTTTTCATTTATTTTGTCCATTTGTTCTTATAGTGCTTACCTGAATTCTTTTATGTTTTCCTATGTTCTTCTTGCTTTCCTCTGAAGCATTCTCAATGTTTCTCTAAATACATTGAAAGCACAGAATTATCTTTCTTTGAATTATTTTTAGATAGTTCCAATGCCTTTTATTCCTCAGAAATGATTTCTTTCTCTGCATTTTGGTCACTAGTTTGAGTCACTTTTCCTTGTTTCTTCATGTTAACAGAAATTTTCTTTTCCCTCTGAGTCACTATGTTGTTGCTAAGTTCCGTCGAGTCAGTTCCAACCCATAGCGACCCTGTACAGGTTTTCCGAGGGTGTAAATCTTTACCGGAGTAGAAAGCCTTATCTTTCTCCCGTGGAGCAGCTGGTAGTTTCAAACTGCTGACCTTAAGGTTTGCAGCCTGATCCATAACCACTACGCTACCAGAGCTCCTTCTATGGTATCATTGTATTTATATTTTTAATTAATGATTGCTTGTTGGTGTATTCATGGGCAGTTATCACCTGCTTCCTGCTGTGTGTGATTAGAAAATGGAATTGTATGCACAGTTTTCCATTTTCCTCTGGTTCAACTCAGTTTAGAGTGGGTTTGGCTGATGTTACCTGCTGTTTTTGTTGATTGGATGGTACACAAATTTGTATACCTACAGAGGGTACAGTTGTGGATGGGCTGTGTGGGCACAGTTGCTGCCTTGATTTGGATGGGGAAATAATAGAAAACACACACAAGGTAAAATAGACAAGCAAGGATGCAACAGCAAAAAGAAAATAAGGGAGGAAAAAACCCCCATAAAAACCTCCCAAGTAGCAGTGAAAAAACAAACAAACAAAACAACTAAAAAGTCAAAGGAAGCAAAGGAAAATAAAATTGGGGAAGACAAAATAAAACCATAGAGGAGTGAAATAAGAGAGAAAATAAACAGAAAGAAAAAAAATTAAGCAAAATTAGAGAAAGGGAATAAGAGAAGAGAAGGAGACCAGAGAATAGTATGTTGTTAAATGCCATTGAGTCAGTTCCAACTCATAGTGTCCCTGTATATGGCTTCTGAAGAGTGGCTGGTGAGTTTGAACTGCCAACTTTGTGGATCAAACCAACCTTATGGCTGAGTGCTTATCCTACAGAGCAACACCAGGACTCTAGAGAATAGTATAGCAAAGAAAATCAAGAGGGAAAACAAAACAAAACAAAACAAAAAACAAAGAAGGGGTGGAGGTCAGGGAGAAACAGAAAAGAAAAAAAAAAAGCAAAATCAGAGACAGAATGGATGAAAAACAAGGGAAGGGAAAGAAAAATAAGGAGCAGAAAGAATGAACAAAATCAACAAAAGGAAAAAAAACAGCACAGGATTTAGTTCATATAGTCCCTAAAGGTAGGTGAGTTCAGCGTCTTTTTGATCCAGAGGGTATCTGGTTATAAGAATTCCTGCTCATCTAGGGCTGGCCTTGAATGGCTCATCTGCATCCACATGAAGAGGTGGTGCTTCCAGCACCCAACTCACGATGGTATGGCTTAAAAGTGCACAGCTCCAACCTCCAGGAAAACAGGACTATGCTGGGGATAGATGAGGGTAGGATTTGGCCATGCCTTTCTTCACCAGGGTAGTGTAGGGAATAAGAAAGAATCACACCTTTCTTGTCACTAGTCACTGGTATGCATCTGTGCCATCTAGTTGCCATTTTTTTCCTAAGCTGCTCTCAAATATTCAAGATGGCCTTGCCGAGTCTGGCTGACCAACAATTCACTCTTCTGTTTC